TACATATTTGGGAGACCATGGATTTAAATCTCCGATCGGAAATGCGAACACGCGAGCAGCCATGAACTGTCTAATTCCAAAACCATTCTCTATTTATGACTTACAGCCATCTTACCTAAAAAAAATTCTAAAACAAATAAATTGAACAGCTGACATAACGTATTAAAATAATCGCATGATCGTCAGTTTTTTTCCCTTGCTTGAAACCCGAGTTCGCCCGAAGACGCCCGAATTCAAGCGAAAAACTTCGTATAAGCAACGGAAATAGTTACAGAAGCTGACACTTCGACAACTAGCGACATCGCCAATAGATTTTCGAGGCAAACTCTGAAATCTTAATGAGTTAATACTGTCCTTTTTTTTAGAGAGATCTTTGTTAAATTAAAGGTAAAAAAACACACCTAAACTTCGCCGGCTGCTTCAACAACTGCGCAAGAAATTTACGGCCTGTTCAGTTCCGTCTAAAAATACATCGTTCAACCGGTGTTCCTCACCGTTGCTTTAAGAAAATAAATTACTTTAGCAAAACATTTCCAAACAAATGCAATTCTAATTCTGGACCTGTATTCGTGGAGGTCACCAACTATAATCTAGAACACAGGGCACGTCTTTCGTGCGAATACACTACTTAACAAACACCAATGGTAGCTCGTACGAAAAAGCAGTCATAATAGACTACGCCGCCCGTGTATTGAGATTTATCACCACGCGTTCAACAAACTTCGCTGCCGAAAGGTGTTACAAGCATTCACTCAGGCTACTTAATTCCCTTACATGTTTTGAGACATTCACACAAAAGTGTTTGCCACGACAAATATATTTGTTTATAAATGACCTACTCAAATGGTTTAGTTCATGAAAGCACTCGAGGTAATGTGCCCACTGCAAATTTGTTTGTTCAACAATGGGACAATGACAAATTTGTTTGTTCAACAATGGGGCAATGACAAATTTGTTTGTTCAACAATGGGGCTATGCCAAATGTACCTGTTCAAGAATGCGACCATGGCAAACTTCTGTCCCCGAAGGAGACCATAACAATGGTGTTCACAAAAAAAACGTTGAGAATATTTTAAATTACGAATAAAAACAATAAGGAAGGAAATTGTACAAGGCGTCCATTATTAACTTAGAAACGGTCGTATTCTTAATGTAACTAACTACATGTACATTGTCAACAATGAAAACTACGTTGACATGGAATACAATTATTTTCTAAATAATTAAAGGGTTATGAACCCTCCCCCCAAAGAAAAACAATGAAATCAAATAACGTAAATATGTTTTCATGTGAACGATGTGTACACGTTTGATACACTCTGTACAATAATTTAAAAAAGTTTAAAAATGCAACCACACGCATTCAGTGGATAATGAATAATAAAAAAGAATGACTTACATTAACGAACAAATCAGCGGCTTTAATGTTAACGCCACGAAGGTCACTTTGTAGTCAGCAGTGCAATAGCGGCCTACGTGTCGTCGAATGTCGACGTACTTCAAAGAGTACACATTTCCAATCCCATTGCTGCCAACCTAGGGCTAAAATACGACGTCGCGAGCAACCAGATAACTTGAGGCCTCTCGTAGTTTTACTCAGTACGTCCAGGAAAGTGCTGTGGTGGTATTATTTAGTGTTCTGTCTGACGACAGGTCCATATGAACAGGATCCTTCCATCCTTTTCTCTTCTCGGACTGGGACCTGTTCATATACGTTCTTGGCAGATGATCCAGAAGTGGTTTTTTTTATTATTTAGTGTTCTGTCTGACGCTAGGTCCATATGAACAGGATCCTTCCGTCCTTTTCTCGGACTGGGACCTGTTCATATGCGTTCTTGGCAGATGATCCAGAAGTGGTTTGCCATTGCCTTCTTCTGTGTGTGAATGGAGTAATTGTTGGGATGCCACGGAGGAAAACTCCGTGTTGCCTAGACCACGGTCTTGCCCAACACAAGTTATAAATTCGGGTACCGCCGGGAATCGAACCCGAGACCCCAGGATTACAAGGCCAGCGTTCTAACCGCTAGACCACCGTGGTCTATTAACAATACGTAGCCATAAATATTTTAAGCGTTTGGTCGCGTTAAAAAAGGTAGACTTTAAAACAGGTGGGGTCCACCATCTCAGACAGAAAAACTTTTTATGTCACGTGACCTCTCCTCTGCAAATGGCGGACGAGACTAGCGCGGAGGTAGATGAAAGCCAATCAAGGGCGCACATTCATTATTTGCAGTTATGAACGGTCTGGTCAAGTTCAAGGGACAGGCCGAGTTTCAGAGTTTGCAAATGACTTCAGTGGCGGCTCGGCATTAAGCAATGACCTCATTAAAACGCGATTGCGATAATTTGTAAAAATGAAAAGTCTAAAGTTTCAGTAAAGGTTCACTGAAAGGTGTCGGGACGAATTTTGTTTCATAGTCCCTACTTTACATTCAGCTCATTCGACAACGGCCCATCGTTAAAAAAAATTCCTGTGTTCGAACGCAACATAAAATACGTATTATATTAACGTTTAAAATGTTTGTACGAATGAGTTCAATGTTTAACGGAATACAAATTAATTCTGCTGTACACACTCTCAACACAAGGAATAAAAATCAGCTTCACAGACCAAATGCCAACCTCTCACGCTTTCAGAAGACTGCATATTACGCAGAGATCAAAATTTTGAACAGTCTACCATCAAATCTCACAAGTTTTGTAAATAAAAAGGCAGAATTTAATGTAGCATTAAAAAAATTACTTAATTACACACTCATTTTACTCTGTCGATGAATTTATATTGTTCACAAATAATTTATAATTTATCTTCTGTACGTAATGGGTAGATTTATTTATAACTTATCATTACTTTAGGTGAACCCTTTGTTTGTATTACGTGAAATTTATATTATATTATTATCATGACTTTTTCCCACAACCTATTGTCATAAAACTATCTTATGGATCCACAGAACGTAATAAAGACGTATGTACTCAAGTGGATTATCATTCTCAAATCACAACTGACATACAGAAGAAACCTAACCTAACATCTGTATATCTTTTCGAAAGCTGCATATGGATCCACACAGAGTTCTATATCAGCTATTTACATTTATATTTCTGCTCTGAAACTGTGGGGCGGAGAGGTATTTGCACGCCTCGCAGAGACAACTGTACGAGCTGCAAGTCTAGCGAGCACACACATCCTCATTGTTCTAAAAATACAAGAGACGAACGAACCTTGAACACTCACGTATGACAAGCAAATTCTCCCTTCTCCTCTCCTGCCACACCAAAAGAAATAAACGCATGGCGTAACAATTCTATCACTTTCGCCATCATCTGTCCTCTGACCTTTATCCAAGGTATCTATAGTCGTCGCATTAACCAAGACGATCTGGGGATTCCCCACCCAGTCCCTGTCGGACGCAGAAAAGTATTTCGAAGTGCCCGGTCGTCGATAATTTATCAGCCGCTGTGCATTCACTGTGATATGTTGGGACGGAAATCTACGCCGAATACTTTGTTGTTGTTATTGTTTCTTTCGAGATCTTTTTTTTTTTGGGGGGGGGGGGGGACAAGTGAGGCGTCTCAGTGAGTCAAGTGGTTGGCCGCTGGTTGGAAGAACTGGGTTCGATAAACCGTCAGGAAAAGACAGATTTAATTTCGTCCGAACTGACTTTCGGGCCCACCCAGCTTCCTTTCCGGTGAGACAACTTACCATTCGCCTTCATCTACAGGTAAAGAATACGTGGATATTTACCTCCACACTCTGTACAGACCGCCACTACGAGGCAGTTAGGAACAGAGGATATTTTGCATTGGTGTTCGTCCAAGTTCGAGACGAAACACATTTTTACTTCGGTGAGAAAAGATAACACGCGATGATAAATTTAAAAGGTTAATATATATATATATATATATATATTACATGGCGTCACAACACAGGAGAAAAGAATCGACATTTTAAAAACATCGAGAATTTCAAATCTCAGAAATAACAGCCATCCTTACCGGTTTTCTCGAGGCGAATTTCTTTGTATTTATAAGACACCTCGTTCACAGAGAAGTTGCATCTGAAGACATTTTGTATGTTACAGATTTGATCGAAATCATGTTCGTACCGAGTTTCGTCAAAGTTAAATAATTTATCGTACAGAACGTTCAAGGTCCCCTATTTTCCACTCCGGCGACCGGAGCAGACAACACTAGCTGTAATATCGTGTTTCTATTGAGCTCTTACCAGTAGCTAATGTATTACGTCTTCGGCTGATACCAAGAGATTCTCAGACCGAAGTGTCTGACTACCCCTCGCAAGTACGAACTGAGTGTTGCAGAGAAATCTCTTCAGGCACTTGGAGGACGAAACAAAATTATTTCCCCTACGCAGTTAATTAACTAGGGTTATCTTACTTTCCGACAGAATTATCTGTGGATAATTTAACTATATTAAACGAACTATAAATCTACCCGACTGACACGGTTGATGGATTATTTAACGATGCTTTTCCATCTATACTAGTTATATGCACAGCCCCGGGGGTACACGAAGACATCTTACGGGGTACGTGAAATTTAAAAATATATATATTATTTTATGATAAACACTGAATAATGAGTAATGTAATTGATTTAATTTATTTTAGATGTAGATTATATACTATATATAACTTGAATTATACATCAACAACTTTGGGGGTACAAAGTTGAAGAGAAATTATATCTGGGGGTACGCGAACAAAAAAGGTTGAATACCACTGGTAACATATCTTGAAGGTCTGAGGAAAATCACAGTAAACCTCACAATCATTAATCTCTGGTCGGAAAAGAATTATGGCGTTTAATTATAAAGCAGATGTGGTGTCGTGATTAATCCGCAAACATAGATCTTTCCGAGAGTTCCCTTAAAGTCAAACACGTCGTTAAGTATGTATTAGATTCATAAAACGTATGCAGTATGAATAAATGTTCTGACTAACTAACTGGCTGGCTCTAGCTGGAGGATATTAATTGAAAAGATGATACTGTCTTTACCCGAACATGAGAAGATCGCCTTCCTCAGAGCTTCATCTAAAAAAGAAACTTGTTTTTCGAGTTTTAACGATGGGTCACAATTTTCCCAGTCACTATGCGTAATAGTCAGAAATAACATATACTCCTCCACATGTTCGCTCCACGGATAATACTATCAGTACTAAAAACATCGAGTATTTTTATATTCATGCTAGTTAATTATTTTATTTTTATAAGAACTTCTCAACTTCTGGGTATTTATAAGCATTAACATATTTAATTCTCATGTGTTTTTACCTCAAAGTACACACAAACAACTCATAATGATGAGGCGGTAATGTCTGCCCATTCGTTTGTATACCCGAAATAATTATAATTTGCTACTGGGTATCAACACATGACGAGAACTTGATTATTGTGCGTTAAAGTCTCTTGTAATCTGTTTCGGCTACAGGCATCTACCGCACAACGAACGAGTCGACCTCACTCAAGCAGAGATAATTTATTTTTCTAAGGACTGTTCTTCAGGAAGGGCTTATTACTCACGTAGCTGATCATGGGGACGTTTCGGGACTGCGACACGATGGACTCCACGAAGCACGAGCCCTCTGGCCCGATGAACGCCGAAACTCCGTCACACAGCATCTCCGTGATGATCAAAGTTGCTCGAACTCGGTCGCCTTTAGTGTCGTTCCAGCGAGGGACCAGTTGAATGTCCTTGAGGATGTCCGAGTCGTTGTTCACCTGTTGCAGGGCCATGGAGAGAGCCCCAGACACGGCCAGCCCTTGTCGGTCCTTCAGGGTGCCCTGAGGACGCAACACACACCGCGATCACGTGCCAAAAGGCAGAGAACTCAGGGAAGATTACTCAGCTCCGAACCAGTCTACTGAAAGTTTAGAAGTCGGAAGATGGCTGTCTTCTGGGTTGTTGCGATCGCCCTGACCATGGACGCAGCAAGGACCTCTAAAACGTTCGTAAACTTCTACCAGACTACACGGCGCAACAACCCAGAAGACGGACATCTTCGGACTTACAGCCGTGAAAACCTCAAATCCAGCTTAAAAGTTGTAGCGAAGCCTTATGGCAGGCTATCAACTGCACTGCAGTGGGACTTCTGTAAAAAATAAACTCTAGATTTAATAGCTCATCTCCTGAAAGTTTTACGCTGCGTCTACGAAACGGTAATTCGTTGTCTTTTGAAAATTACATTTTGAACTGCATACATTCTGGGACCACCTCGTCGTAAGATTCCAACGTTTCGGAGAAATACACTGCTTCCATCTTCAGCCCGGAAGACAGCATGTTCCTCATTAGGGAAAACCTGCAATCTCGCTTTAAGACTACCTTTTCATTAACAAACGTTCATGAGTCTGGTCCCACATTATTAACCCTCATACAACTTATTTTATTTCGACAACGCCTCCATGACGTTCCTGAACACGCCAAACAGGTATAAAAATAACTTGAATCAACTAATAAGAGTATTTACTTAAAATCTGGGCGCATGGTAAAGGTAACAGTTGGTATGAAATAACCCACAGGGTTACTACTACAGTTGAATGATACAGATAGTGATTCCGTTGACATACCGTCATGGCGGCCAGGTAGCCGATCGTGAGGGTCTTCTTGGTGCCCCGCTGTTCCGCGGGTAGCCCGGGGCGACACATGAGCAGGACAAGTACGACGCGACAGCTCAGGAGCTCGACCACCCAGGGCGCCCCAGGGCGCATGGCCGCCCACTCGCAGTCACCCCTGCGCTACCTGCAACACACACAGCTGGTTCCTTCGTCACCTTGTCTGCAGGCCGACGACTAGGGTCGACAGCCCCGGCGCCACTGTACGTCCGGGTGACAACGGTTTCCGGTTCCCACAGCCCTCCCTCCAACGTTCTCTGTCCACCAGTCTCTTTCCTTTCACAATATCTCTCTAGGTCTTCCTCAGCATCTGCCATTCCAAAACCTACCCTAGCCAGCCCTCGGTTTTTCAAGTGTCCGCTTTCAAATAGATCCGACAAAATTTTGTATTCATTTATTTTCAGCTCCGTGCAGAGAATATTAGCACTCTTAAAATAATATACAAGTTACTTTGAAGAAAATCAATAATATAAATATAATCTTCAAAATGCTATTTGTCTTCATTCTAATCTATACGAAGAATCTCTTTAAGATCCAAGTCACTTTCACGAAAACCTCAGTGAACATATCCCCTTAAAAGAAATGCAATTAAACATTCCGTCTTAAAATGTGTAATTTGTTATCATGAATTTTCGTGTGAATATTTTTAATGCACAGACATACAACTCATTTTAATAAAAATACCTCTAAACTATATATATATATGAGAAGTTGCGATCAATTTCCTGCAAATTACAAAATATCTGTCTGCACTCTAACATATTATAACAGTAACAACCACAAAAACATATACACAAATATATATTGTTTAAATCTTGTCCGTCTAATCACAATAAATTCTTATTAAATATTAAAATATTACATTACATTATTATATTTCGATAAAGAACATCATTTAATATTTTGAATATTTTAAATGTTAATTAATGTAATATTTTAATATTTAATAAGAATTTATTGTGATTAGACGGACAAGATTTAAACAATATATATTTATTATATCACAATATGACGCAACTTTACCATCTCATATACACAGAGCAAACAAGAAATTTTCATAACCAGCAAAAAATTACATAAACGAAGTTCAGACTCAGAAATTAAAATTGCTAACCAAGAACGAGGTAAGGAGACATTAAAGTACCAACCTTTGATGGATTTACCTCCGAATCATTTCAACAGTAAAAAAATCTCCTTCAAACTTCATCGAACATTTATACTAACGTGAAGTGGCCGGCAGCGAAATGGACGACTGACATTCCATTCGCAACAAAGACAGAGATTTTTGTAACGATACTCAGCCTTACTACGTCACCCACCCTTCCTCCAATCCAATGTTCAACGGGGTTAAAGCAGCAGGAGCGTCAAGCTGACCACTGACCTCACTCCATATAAGAATGCATGCCTCTAAGACGTGGAGTTCGACAGGGTCACCTCTAGCATCATTATGCAGCAACTAAGAAGCAAACAGGATCTCTTAAGAGGCAGAAGAGAGCAGAGTTGAATGACAATACGAGACGAGAGGCAAACAGACAGCGCACTGACATCATGCTACATGCATTCAGCATGATCAGACGTCTCCCTGCGGGAGTCGAACTCGGCTGCTTCAAAGGTCAATCTATTATTACCTTTAAAATGACAACTGAAAGAAATTTTGTAACTGCGTGAACTGATCGTCAACTGTTTCCTACGCATTTATATGTCACAGTACAGAATTGCTTGCCACTAAACAGCATCTTGACATTTCTCTTAAACGACAAATTTATATATCAACATTTTCACAAGAACCTCTCTTTCTTCGTCATATGTGTCCCAATTCCATCTAAATTAATATATGCTGTCTAAACGTTATTAAATTTGCTTCCTTCTACAAACCATAACTTCAAAAATATTTACATTTACTTTAATTATGTTATATAATTCGGACTTTTCCCTAATTCAGGCAGCCTCTTACTGTGTCAGTCCGAATTAGTGACGTTTCACTCAGACAAGCGGGAAACTTAGTTCACAATGAGCCGACGATTATGGTGAAGTGTTTGGAAATCCAGAAAACAATTTATCACTGCTAGCCATCAATCACTAGCGTAATATGACCCGTCGAAGTTGACGGGAATTAACATTTTTTGTGTTGAACAGTGAAACAATTTATTGCAACACTGTCTGAAAATCGTATTTAAAGTACAAACTTAATAAAAATTCCTCGTCTTTGAAGTAAATTAAATGTGAAATGCTGTGCAGTTATTATTTATTATTATTTAGTGTTCTGTCTGACGACAGGTCCATATGAACAGGATCCTTCCATCCTTTTCTCGGACTGGGACCTGTTCATATACGTTCTTGGCAGATGATCCAGAAGTGGTTTGCCATTGCCTTCTTCTGTGTTTGAATGGAGTAATTGTTGGGATGCCACGGAGGAAAACTCCGTGTTGCCTAGACCACGGCCTTGCCCAACACAAGTTATAAATTCGGGCACCGCCGGGAATCGAACCCGAGACCCCAGGATTACAAGGCCAGCGTTCTAACCGCTGTGCAGTAATGTTTGTCAAAGTCGACGAACAGAGTGCAACGTACTGCATTCGGATCGAGGTATTCAATTGTCTTGATACTGTGTGGGATCTACTGCAGTACTGCCAACATCAGAAAGTTGCTCTATCTCTACTTAATTTATATAAAAGTGTTCTTAGTTCTGAAGAGCTCTATTGGATGTTTATGTAAATGAAAGCAACCTTGAAAAAAAAGAGTTCTTGTACCTACACGGGATGTGCGAGCCACTGTTCGTAAATTAAAAAATTCTTTCCTCTCTACGAATTGGCTGTAGACGCCAGTACTGTACAGAAATCTATTTGCGCGTGCGTCAGTTTATCCACGAGCATCCTCAGCGGATTTTCGGGTGTCGGTATATTTCCACTTCGAGTGCTATAGCTCTTTCCCACCGAAGTGTTAATATAACCTCAAATATGATAAGCATTCTAATGGTTCTGACGTTAACACCAATGCATCATGACTTACACAGACGGCCACATGAGCTGGAGGAGAGAGAACTGGCCTACCTCAGCATCAGTACTTTCTGCTCTGCGATCTGATAAAATGTGGGAGGTTTGAATGGGACACCCTGTATAATAATGGATAAGAACCTTACCACAGTGCAGCTGATAACAGTAGAGAATGGTGATCTATTTTCGCATTGCAATAAGCTACAAGACAAGAAAGCTATTACTTTAATAAACCACGATAC